TAGGGAAACCTTTTAAATATACGATCAATTTGTGTAATCTTGATTTACTAAAGAACAAAATTAAAGCTCACCTCATTTAAGCGAGCAAAAAGACGCTCGAAAACACGAGGGGTTAACCCTTGTTGATCACTTGATAGATTTTCATCCAGCAAGGCATTGGCTGGACCCCACATGGTATATGTCTTTCCACTTCCCGTCTGATAGATTGAATAATCAGAACATGTATAATTAGAAATGGAATCAACATCCCAACATAACACACATAGAATGAAGCAAAACACAAATGGAAACAGACCTGTCCGTACGCAAATACAGAACTGTTAAAACCTGCCATACAATTCTCAACTAGAGGTGCTCCTACAAGCTGGAAAATATCTAGCTGCAATGATATGCACAACAAAAGATAAGAATCCACTCTAAAATCAGCTAAACAAGAATACCATTTTGATGGAGTTCATGCCTGTGAAGAGTCTGTGTCGCAAACCGAGTCAAATGTGAAGGTCTGTCCATTTATCGACAAAGAGTCACTAGATAATTTCTGTACCATCATCTCTCCTTCATCCTTATCCTTTCGCGGCGGTCGCATTCTCACTACTACCTATACATATTAAGAAAGAAAAAAAATTAAGAGTAATTAATAAAGATTTTGTCACAACAAAGGAAATGCAAAAGGACTCACTGAAAGAAAACAAAAGGAAACAGAAAGAAAAAAGAACAGCTATATGGTGAACTAAAGAATAATTAGAAACTAATGTTAGCATATAAGAAACGCTCTGTAGTGGACTTAATAAAATAAAAAAGAGGACATTTTCTGTGATTCTTAATTCGTTTTGATTATTCTTGGCAGACAAACAAAAGTGGGTCTATAATCAAGTGCAAACATACTAAAATAGAGAGAGAAATGATATCCACTAAAAAAAAAATCAACAAAAATAGAAGATTTCGTCAATTTATCATTTTAAAAATAAAAGAAAAAGGAAACAAGGCAAAAAAAGGTCCAATAAAATGGAAAATTAACAATAAGAAACTAAAGTCGATATATAAGAACGACTCCCTATTTGAGGTAAAAACGCCATTTTCTTTAGTTCCTCTCATTCAAAATTCCTTTTTAAAAATAAAATTTAAAAATATATATATATCTTTCTCAGCAGCTAAACAAATGTGAGTTAGCATTCAAAAGCTACAGACAGCAATAGCAGTGTAAACATACTAAAATAGAGGGCAAATGATGTAAAGTTAAAATTTAGAAAGATTTTAACAAAAAACACAAGATTTCTCAGCAACCAAGCAGAAGCGAGTCAAGAACCAAACGCTACAGACAGCAAACGAATGGTAAACGATACTAAAATAGAGGGGAAAAAACGATATTCAACTCAAAAAGGTAATAAATATTTCAACAAAACGCACAAGATTTCGCAGCAACCAAACAGATTTTCCCAGAATTTAATGATAAAAGAAAGAAAGGAACAAGAAAAGATGTCTAGAAATGCGAAAGTACCTGGACACCAGAATCGGAGGTCCCAGGGACAGAGTTTTCGGTCTGAGAGTCAACGCTGAGCTTCCGCTTGAGAGGGTTCGACGGCGGTGGCCGAGGCGGCAATGGACTCTTCAACTTCGCCGCCGGCGAAGGCTTCGAATCGGAGGCCATGGAGTTCGGATCCGAGGGCGGAGCATTCTCCTTGGAGGCCTTGGGCTTCCGAGGTGGCCTGGGCTTGCCGTAGCTAGGGTTTGGCGACGAGGTAGGCTCCGTCGCCTCCCTCAATATAGTGTTTCTCGGCTGCATGAAGTGCTTCATCGCGAATTGTAGAGAGCGAAAATGAGTATTTCAGATAGAGAGAAACGTGAATCTGAGAGTGCGAGACTGAGAGAGTAGGGTTTGGAAGGACAAGAGAGCGAGAGAGAAGGGGAAGAGAGAGAGAGGGGTAGCCGTTGGAGGAGGAGAGCGAAAGAGAGATTTGAATTTGGGAGATTTGGGGGAAAATTGAAAAGGCACGTGATGCAGGGTGTTTTTAAATAATTATTGTCATTTCTTGTTGATTCTCTTCTCTCTCTTGAAGTCGACAAAAAGCAGTTTTGAAATTGTGTTGGATCTGGAGCGTTTTGATGGAGTTTTTCAGTAAACCCGATGCGCATCGTATGGCCCCTTGATTTACTTACCTTATTTGTACGGTCAAGATTCCTTTGCAATTTGCAGCCATTTTTTCTTTGGCAACCTTTAACAAGAAATTTGATACATGACAAACCAATATTATACACTTCTGCTCAAATTAGCAACTGTAAACATACATAAATCCTAGCCACACTGGAGGTCAATCCAAATCATCATCGTCAAGAAACAAAAGGAAAAGACAAGGAAACAAAGTGTTTGAGAGAGTATTTCTAATGCATTTGAGAGTATGATGGAGTACTCATATCATATGCCAAAAAGTGTAAAGATCAGTTGATAGCCTAATGAGTATAATGAGGATCATGATCATAAATTTATAGGACACGAGTTCAAATAGATACGGCTTTTTATTTCATATCGCATTTCATTCAAGAGCGGAACTAGCATGAGGGCTATCATGGGCTTTATACATTTTAATTTGATTCACCTCATAAAAGCTTAGTAGCCCACAATACGTAACCTAGTAACTCATATCCACTCAACTTTGTAGACCTATAATCATCTAAGATTAATTTGTTTGCTCAATTAAGAAATATAATTCCCTAGTAAGGCTCGTGACTTTAACTCTCTACCTTTTCCTATTATCTCCTAATGTTTCCTTCATTTTTCGTCAATATTCATGTTAATTGTCATCATATCACGCTTTAAAATTAGCTAACCCTAAGGATATGCACAGTGCAGTTCAAACGGAGAATGATTTTTTTTAACAAATTATATGATTGTCTACATTGATAAAAAACTTGATAACAATATCAATTCATATTCAAACAAAACATTACAATTCTCTCCAGGATTTGTTGAACATATTTTCATTTTGATAATAGGTGTTTTTTGGTTGCATTTAATACATATTTATTTTATGTTAAAGTTTATAAAAAATTTGTCAATGGAACATTGAACTAGCGTAGGGTTTAAGCTAGTAACTTTAGTTAGCTTACCCGATGAACAATTCATAGTTTTACCCTTGATTTCATTACTTACTTTATCAATTGAACAGATAAAAGCGTGTGTTCAATACATTAGATGATGGTGTAGATAGGTATGAGTATGAGATGAAAATTCTGGAACATCATAGAGCTAATTTTGAGATGTAGTTTGAATTATGACTTGTCTTTATTATATTTTGAGATGAATAATTCAGATTTTTTAAGTACAAGTGATAGTTTTTTTTTTCCCCGAATACAAGCGTTAGTCTAAACTACAGGGGATGATGATTTCTCACACATACACATACAATTAACATATCATGAGATTCGAGCCTGAGACCTCTAGTCTGCAAGTCAATACTCTTTTTTATGAGGTGAGACTTCGTTGGCAGGCCGGTCCAACTTAAAATTGTACCTAGGCCTCATCATTTGGCCAGCGGGCTCATGGGCCGATAAGGGCCCGCCATGCCCATTGAAAAAAAGCCCGGCCCGGCCCGTTATGGGCTTTGAGATGCCCCGGCCCGTCTTGGGTCGGACTAGGCTTGGGCTTGGGTGTCTAAAGCTCGGCTCAGCCCATATGCCCGGCCCGATTAAGCCCAAGAAAACCCGCCCCGGCCCGCCCACAAAAGCCCGACCCGTTAGGTCCGCATACATATATAATTATGTATAAATAAGAGTTTAGGTTTAGGATTTTATCACATAAATCACATATATAATTTGTTTCATTTCATTTACTTTTCTTTACTCATTCCTAGTTTATAATTGGATGATTAGCACATTAATTTGTGTCAATTATTAATTCAACAATTATATATATATATAAATAAGACGAACAACATATCACATCACCAAATATAATCATATCACGAAACATAATTGTACCACCAAATATAATCATGTGTTTTTTGAACACATCACCAAATATTTGCATATTTATTCATACCATCCTTTAAAAAAAATATTTGTTTGATACTTATTATTTTTTTAAATTATTTCTTAAAACGTATTATGATCTAATTATGTAATAACCTTAAAATAATACTTGGTTTTATAATTTTTGTGGAAAATCTTATTAAGTTGTGTGACTTTATTGGGTGTTTTATGAATTTGGTTTGATGTGAAAATATTGGAATTAAGTGAGTTTAATCTCAAATTTGGACTAAAATGCCCTTATGATTAAGTTTATGATTTTTTTTAATGAAGTAAGCCCGTTTAGTCCCGGCCCTGCCCAATGGGCTTTTTCAAGCCCAGCTCATGGGTCAGGCTTGGACTTTGAATTTTCTAAAAAAATCCAGCCTAGCCCGGCCCGATATTTTCTCTCTCCTCTTTAAAGCCCGACCCATTGACTAGCCCTAATTGTACCAATGAGTCATTCTCTAGTGAGGACCTTATATATGACCTTTAAATAAGGTACTATATCTTAACTATTAAATCAGACTAATCAATTTGATCAAACGAGTCATTCTATAAGCCCTCACTACAGAATTCTTAGTTGTACTAAATAAACTCAAAATTAAGGCAAGGCCAAACCAGCCCAATCTAAAGCAGTTTAGTCCGGCCCACAAACAAGGCCTCAGGTAACGCTTTGAAACGGATTCGCCGTGCGTTTTGGCTTTTTCCTCCCATAAAAAAACCTCTTTTTCCACTCCACAACACAACACAACGCTATGCAAGTTGCAAGCATGCATTCTCCAACGTGGCAATTGCCCAGCTCGTGTCACCCTCTCATACTCGGTGTGATGATCACACATAAAAACAAAACTTACCCAGCCATGCCAGCCATGCCAGCAAAACCCGAGACGATAAGAATCAAAATAATAACAGTGGATGTGCTCATCCAAATTCACAACAAAATTGTTCGACTCCATTATTAAAATCCACTTCAATTCTATATTTTTCTAAGGAAAATCAATTTCCCCACCATCATATTTTAGCCAAAAAAAAATCACTTTTAATCTTTGTAATTGGGTGAATTTTCTACTATGTTCCTGTGATTTTCTGTTATTTCAAGTATTGCAATTCGACTCATGTAGTTTGATATTCTCGTAATTTAAAAATACATCTAAAGTTTCATCCACTTTCGTGATAATATGAAAACGTGTCGTTGACATAAATGAGTATTTTGAATAGAATTAGAACAAATTTAATAGAATTATAATTTGTTACTGAACTCCCGAAAATTTAAAATTATATAAGTAAAATTGATAAAATTGAAATTACGAGATGGCGAAGATGGTCATCTGTCAAGCAGGAAGCCACAATAAATGAATTTTGATTTCCCAAAAAAG